TGCAGAAGCATTTTAGTAAGAAGAGATCCCACTTGTTGATTGTTTGTGCTAGTTCACGGGCAACTGAGGTTTTGTTCATAAAGCCTTTTCCTACCCCAATGTCATCAAGAGTTCGACCTAACCTCTGTTCCAGCCGGTTCAGGGTTTCTCTTTTTATATTTAGATCTTTAATCCATTTCGATTTTAGTTTAGTGCATGGTGAGAGATATAGGTCTAGTTTTAGTCTTTGGCAAGTTGAAACCCATTTTTTCCAGCACCATTTATTAAAGAAACTATCTTTCCTCCAGTGAGGGGGTTTGGCTCCTTTGTCAAAGATGAGGTGGCTGAGTGTGTCTGGAGTTGTTTCTGCATCTTCTGATCTGTTCCACTGGTCCTCAGGTCTGTTTCTTTGCCAGTACCATGCTGTTTTTATCATAGTAGCTTTGTAGTATAGTTTCAAGTTGGGGGTTGTAATACCCCCTGCCATGTCTCTGTTACCTAGAATTGCTTTTGCTATTCTGGGTCTCTTCTTTATCCAAATGAATTTTTGGATTGTTTTCTCAAGGTCCATGAAGTATGCTGCTGGGATTTCAATTGGGATTGCATTGAATCTATATAGCAATTTTGGAAGTATGGGCATTTTCACTATGTTGATCCTTCCTATCCAGGAGCAAGGGATGTCTTTCCATTTTCTGGTATCCCCTTCAATCTCTTTTTTCAAAGTGCTTTAGTTTTCAGAGAAGAGGTCTTTGATTTCTTTTGTAAGGTTGATTCCTAGGTATTTCAGTTTTTTGGATGCTACTGTGAAAGGAATTGTTTGCCCTATTTCTCTCTCAGTGAGTCTGTTGTTCGTGTAGAGGAAAGCTATTGATTTTTGTGTGTGGACCTTGTATCCAGGTACTTTACTGAGTTTGGTTATTAAGTCTAGAAGACTTTTGGTGGAGTTCTTAGGGTCTTTGATATAGAGGATCATGTCTGGTGAACATTATTATATGCTGGCTACACTGCTACATTAGATGCTAACTACTTTTATGGCCTCATTTAATCCTTGGGGGCCTGCAAAGATTAATAAATCTATGCAAAATCCCTTACAGGAACTTATTATCGTTATTTCCCCCATTTTACAAATGAGGGAACTTAAGTTTGGAAAGGTCACACAACTGCCCAAAGTCACATAGATAGGAGGTTAAAGAATTAGGTTGCAATCTTTTTTTCTGAATCTAGAACCTATACCCAAAATTTTATACACATATAGGTCATTGCCTCAAATTTTGTCTTTGTGTTTCTTCCCCTGAATTTCAATTTATGATATTTTAACGGCTATCCTGAGGTATCATGAACACATACGTAAAGTGTCCAATTTGTCCAATGTAGCATAAGGATATGCTTGTGAAACAATTACATAATTAAGATAATAAACATACGGGCCGGGGATTTAGCTTAGTGGTTTCGCCGCCTGCTGTGCAAGCACAAGGACCCGAGTTTGATGCCCCGTACCAAAAAAGATAATAAACATACCCATCACTTCTAAAATTTACCTAGTGTCCCTTCACAATCTCTCCCTCCTGCTCTGTGCCCCAACCAACTACTGGTCTGCTTTGCTCAGTATAAATTGGTTTGCATTTTCTAGAGTTTAAATAGAGCCACACTGCCTGCAATCCTTTTTAATTGGCTTCTTTTTTTCAGTATAATTATTTTGTGACTCATCCATATTTTTGTCTAGGTCAACAGTTCATTCCTCTTATTGCTGAAGAGTGCTCCATTGTATGGACACACTATGAGGAGGTATTATTTGTGATCATTTTTAACAATTCTCTAGAATCTGAAATAATCAAGAAGTTAAAAAGTAAATCAGATTTTTAATTCAGTAGCATTCTGTTCTTTATTTTTATTTTAATACTTATCATGCATAGATCCCTAATATATTAAATAGATGTTAAATTTTAAAAGAATGGGGTGGGGAGTTAAGAGAGAGAGGAGAGAAGAGAAGAGAAAGAGGGTAAAAAATTGTGCCCCAGATATAATACCATTCCTGTCTTTCAGCTATAAATTAGTTTTGAAATATGACTTTTTAAGGCATGCATATGAAATATATATTTTGCATTATGTATTGTATAATTTTCTACACTTGGAATTTTTTATTTATATAAATTAATTCAATGTGCAAGTATATTCAAGTATAGAAACTCACTGATACAGTGCTTCACTTTTAACAGTCGAAATCCACACATCTTTTCTTTGGCAATATAGTTGTAAGTGGGCAATAAATTTGCTCACCTTGGCTATATTTATACTACTGACGAAGAACGCTTTAGAGGAAGACAGATGGCTTCTTTTTGAGACGTGCAGATAGGAATTAACATAACACCTAGCTCCAGATGGCAGGTTTGAGAGACTCATGAGTGTCACCTAGGCTGGAATCTAGCTTCCTTAAGCCTCAGTTTTCCTGCCTTTAAAATATTAATGGCTGTTTTGAAAGGCTGCTTTGGCTTTAAGCAAAACGGCATTTCTGAGCACGTGACATGTAGAAGGTATTTATTTATAAATGCTATTCCCCCACCACCAGCACCACTACCTCGGCCCTTTTTCCTGAAGAGTTCTGTAGCCCCCTGGGGCTCACAGGCTTCTTCAGCCCCTTCCTGTTTCCCAACTTTTCATGGACCTCTCAGCACCTGTCCTGGGCCAGAGACTGGCATTTGGACGTCGCTGAATGGAAGCCTGAAGGAGATCTTTTCTACCTTACAATGCCATCAAACCCAGGCTGTAGCTTTGGAGACTGGGGACTAGGAGGGATTGTTCTGTGTCTTGTGTTTTCATGGGGCACCAAGGAGTGTCTCCCAGAGGGCTTGTGGCTGCTGTGTGGCCAGGGCCTGTCACAGGCATTTGGATTCTAGGTGGGAGGTGACAGCTCATAATGGAAACCAGGAGTTTGCATATTATGGCCTTTCTCCATTAATGGGGCCCCTGGGGAATGTAACAGCCTATTGAGTGTCGTTTGGACTAGCCTGAGTGTTGGCACATCCTCAGAAGTGGTGATTAGGAAATCATGTACCCCAGCACTCTGAAAAACCCAAAGAAGTTGCCAGGGAAAGCCATGAAGAAACAACTTTAAATGTTTGGAAACTTGGCTACGTTGAGTTAGAAAATGGCTACATAAAACCAATAGGGATGCTGTTTTCAAGGGAAATATCAGGATGGAAGCAATTTAAGTTCCACTGGAATAAGAGGAATCCAGTGCAACTTAAACATTAAGAAGACTGGTTAACATATTTAAAGTTCTACACTATAACAGACTTATGGTTGGGGGAAAGGGGGATTGAAACCAGGTTTGAGTTCCAGGTCAGCTTCTTACATAGTTCATGACCCCAAAAGCCACTTCATTTCATGAATCATCACTAAGGCTATGAACTGGTGATTCATAGTTATTTATGTCACTGAATTACTGCATAAGAGGACTACATAAGAGTAGGAACAGATAGGCCAAATACAGGACCCAGCACATAGTAAATGCTCAATAAATATTTAGCCAATGAACGACTGAAGGGCACCTCATCCTCTTAGGGATACAAATGGAAACCATCACTGTAGCTCCCCCTTCTCTTTAAACAATATTTAATCATAATGTATGTTTCCATGAAAAGCTGAAAGAATATTTATCAGTGCTAACAGAATGTCCTTTAGGCTTCTGTTTGTCATCTATAAAATGGGGATGATTCCACCTGCCTCTTGGTGGTACTTTGGGAAGCACAAGCCCATCACTAATACTGGCAGTGTGTGAACACTTCAGATAGCGAAGTGCCTTTGACAAACAGACAACTAAGTAAAGCTAATATTTGGTAATTTTCCAGTAGAAACCAAGAGGTTTCTGGTTTTGCCAAACGGAACAAGGGTTGTCACACAAACAGTTTTATTTTGCAGGTAGTTTATAGATATGGAAATTCAGTTGAGAAAAAGCTATTTTGTTGGTGAATCTTTATCGACATTTGAAGAGCACATACCCAGTGTTTTAGAAATTTAGAGGGGTTTCCAGTAGTGAGTAGTGCTTGCTTTGGCGGCACCCTTTGCTCTGGTTTGAATCTCTCAGGGCTGACCACAGAAGCATGGTCTCAGGATGACCTGTTTTGTCTTTTTAACCTATTCATCACCTATTTTGCTGATGCTGACCAAAAGATTTCCTTTTCTAAGTAAGAAAAACTCATCTGCTTGTGAGCATTATATAACTTGCGTGCATGAACTGATGAAGTGAATCAGCAGTATTTCACCTGTCTCTTTTTTTCTTCCCCCAGTCACCTCCTCTGCATTTCATATTTGACTTATTTGTCCTGAACCCTCCAGAGTCAGTTGCTGAATCTGTTTCTCAAAGCATTGTTGCGTGTGAGAGACTATGTTTTCAGAAGGATATACATCTAGAAAGAACTATGTTCTCACTGTCATTAAATTTATAGTTATATGCTCTACTCTTCCTAAGTAAGTTGCTTCCTGTTACTTCTCTATTAAGCAAAACAGTTGATAATGTCTATTTCATCATTGGTGTGCTTTATGGATGACAATAATTGTTTTTAGAGGCCATGGAAATTATTGCTTTTTATAAAATATGGGCATTAATAAAAGAAAGAAATGTTCCATGGACACTTCAAGCCTTCTGTCCTGTAGAAAATTGGGACCTCCCCCACAACAAATACTGATGAAAAAATAGAGCTATCATTCAGATAGCTTGGCTTCTGTTTTTGCTATGTGGTCTCTGCTTGTGACCATACACCAGAACATCAGGAGCTCCCTGATAACGCAGTTACTTTTTAAGGGCATATGTGTTTGCTAATCAGACTGCCTGGGTTCAAATCTTATCTTGTCTTAATTTTTTTTTCCAGGTTCTCACCTATTAGCTACGTAGAGTTTCAACAAGTTACGTAACTCTCTGCACCTTGTTTTTCTACGTTCTCTGTAAAATGCAGACAGTGATGGTCTTGTGTCCATTATTGTAGGGCTGTTATTGAGAGATAATTCATCTAAAGAGCACAGCACAGGGCCTGACCCTCACAGAGTCTTCAATAAATGTCGGTTTATAAATATTATCAAGAACTGCGTGTAGGAAACATGTTTCTTTAAGATTGTTAATAGGCAGGAAAATTATACTGAAGGGTGAGCTACTGGGTTTCAGTATGAAACATACTTTGAGAACATATTGAGGTCAATTACCAGGTTTGATCCTGATGTTAAAATAATGACTGCCACACCAAAAACCTCACAGAACAAAAAGACTAATCTCGGGAGCTCTTAGCCGCTTTTCATCTTATTGACCTCACTGGACATTGTGCAAGAAACACCTCTATTTGATGTCATGCAACATAACTTTCTACTGATGCCATTAAATGTGCAGAGTATTTGATTTCAATACGTACATCTGTTGAGTCCAAATAGCACTTGATTGACAATCTGAGCGATCACCAAGCACTGAATGTCTCCTCTCCCTGAAAGGAAACACCCTTCTTCAGTTGGCTTTACCATCTCTTTCTTGCCTAGAGGACCCCAGAATGTTCCCTCATGAAAGTGGGAATTCTCTACTTCCTGCAGTGTCCTAACAACAGGGTCCAGACTAATTCTAATTCGGGGCGCAGGCTCACTGGCCCAAGGGACCAGTCTTGCTCTTTTCCTGAGGGATGTATGTTTGCTTTTCCTAAAATGCTTTGTTAACTCAAACACACTTCTCTTCTAGAAAACTACTCAAATCAGAGGTATCTTAATTTTTTTTCCAGGCAGCTATTGCACCGTGGAACTTAAAACTTAATCAGGCATAGGTTTTGATTTGTCTTCTCCTCTGCCAAGTTAGAAAAATTCCTCATACCAAGTGATTTATTTGGCCAAAAAGTCACAAAAGCACAAATGAGACCTGGAGGTTTCCAGGATCTTTTTTAACTTCTGTGTTCTAATAGAAGGCTAATTATTTTTGCCTTGAGACAGCTTGACAGCAAAACAGAGTAACTGAGAGTTGGAATTCTGTGCCACTTAATCCACTCTGAATGTTGCTGATGATTGATTTGTGGCCATCATGACCTGACCAGAATTCTTCAGTAACAAAAAAGCAGTGTCAGTGTCTGTTGCAGCCCTGGCTCTTTACCCTGCAGTCTTCACGACAAATCCTAGCAATCACCGACAGAATCGGACCATCCACAGGCCCATACTACCCCACTGTAGAAATTAGGAGTTATTATTTATTTTATGTCTGTATCCATTAGCAAAGAGAACTAGGTACCATCTGTAGAAGCCCGGACAATCTCAGAATCCCTGACATGAACTGATTCCACAGTTTGCAGCCCAGCTAAGTCATTAGCATGTATTTATTTGCTGTCATGTCTTTAGAGGCTATTTGATGACAGAAAAATAGTAAATGAAAACTGTGGAATACAAATCTGCATCCAGACTTCATATGGGAATAGATACCTGTAATCTTTAGCCAGTAAAATTAAAGATTTAAAAAAATTTTTAGGTGTACTTTTCCTGTTTTCCATACTTTCTACAATGGATCTGGATTTTCTTTGTAATCTGAAAGGCAAAGGATGTTGTTTGAAACAATCCAACATATGAAGTGTGACTGAAAAATAGTGTTTAAATAAAAAAATAATTACGGTAAAAGACACATTGCCATTAATCTCCCTCAAAGTACTTACTCTCACTTCAAACACATGTATCTCAACATTCGTGCTACAGTTCTGGAAGTCCTTTTTTGCCAATGTCTTTCATTGTGCTGTTGTGGCCGCCTAGATGTCCTGAATCAGTTCAAAATGCTTGCCTTTGATGGTCATTTTGACTTTGGGGAAGAGCCACAAGTTGCACAATGCCAGTTCCAGTGAGTAAGGTGGCTGAGGACACAATACTGTTTTTACCAGCCTGCCTGTCCATTGGGCAGCACTCGGCAGCAGTATGCCCCATATTATTTGTCACACCTTGTAAAGACACTCAGGAAAGAGGACTTCCAGAACTGCTTCAGAAAGTGGCAAGAATGATGGGATAGACAAGTGTGTTTGAAATAAAGGAGAGTACTTTGAGAGGAATTAATGGTAATGTTCCTTTTACTGTGATAAATGTTTTAAAATTTAAACATTCAATGTGTTTTTCAATCACCCCTCAAGCTCAGAATCAACTGAAGAGAGGAGTTGGTAGCCATAAGAACCATGCTTTTTACAAAGAACGTGTAAGTGTGCGTCTGGCACATACTATATATGTCATTCACATGTGACTGGTTTGTGTGGGACAAAATGAAGACTCTAGCTTTCATTCTGAAATGAGAAGCCTTTGGAAGGTTTGGATGGAGTGATGGCATGATCCAGCTTGCATTTTGACAGGGTCACTTGGAGGCCACGTGGAAGCCAACTTTTGGTGGGGCAAGGGACAAAGTCAGGAAACTGAATTTGAAGAAGGTGGTAGAAGGCAGCCAAACAAGGATGGTAGTGGGAGAGGTGGCAAAAGGAGGGTGGATGCCGGCTATTTCTCCATCACAATGTTAGATTTTAGAAACTATTCTCACAATCAGTTATTTATTACATAGAGATTTAAATATCTTACAGTTTACATTTTTATCAGAAGGCTCTATGATAAATATAAAAAGCATTGAGTATAAAAGAACTTCTCCCCAAAACCAGTACCAGCACTGATTTTACCTTTCCCTCTCAAACACCTACCAATTATTAAGTACCCTGTCTGTACGGAGCCAGATAAGATGAGCCCTTGGGACTTCTTCCTGCGCAAGCACCAGAACTAAGTCTTCGTTCAGAGATCTCAAACTCCAGCCGGGCCATCTTTGATAAAGATGTCAAAATTATTCTTTGCAAAGGATAGTTTTTATGCTGTAACAATATATAAAGTATGATTAAAATGCACAGTGAATGTTTAAGTTTTAAAAAAATATTATAGTAAAAGACACATCACCATTAATATCCCTCAAATATTCCCCTTGTCTCAAACACGCTTAGCCCATCATTCTTGACACTTTCTGAAGCGGTTCTGGAAGTTCTTTTTCCTGAGTCTCTTTACCATGTGTGACCAAAAACAGGGTGAATGCTGTTGCCAAGCGCTAGCCACAGAAAGGCAGGCTCATAAAGCATTATTGTGTCCTCATCCACCTCAGTTCCTGGATCTGGCATCCTGTGACTTTAGGCTCTTCCCAGAAGTCAGAATGGCCATGAAAAGTAAATGTTTTGAATTGATTCAGGACATCAAAGCAGCCACAACAGCGCCAACTAGAGACACCCACGGAAGAGGACGTCCAGAACTGCTGCTGAAAGTGGCAGGATCGATGGGATAAGTGTGTTCAAAATGAGGGAAAATACTTTTAATTTAAGCATTCATTACATTTTTACCAAAACTTATCATATAATTTTCCAATAATTTGGGGAAGAATGTTTCGTATTTTATGAGATGATGATGATGTGCATGGTGGTGGTTGTGGAACTTCCTTTACTATGTACTGATGCTACTTTTTTTTTGTACCGGGGATCGAACTCAAGTCCTTGAGCTTATGAGGCAGGTGCAGAACCACTGAGCTAATCCCCGCCCCCTGTACTGATATTACTTTATTACTCAGAAAGTTACTTTAATTTTCTGGTGCATCAAATCCTCAAGTCTAGAAAACACGCTAGTCTATATGGCAAAACCTTTATATAAACCCATTGCAAATTTAACCTTGTTTTTTCTGGCAACTGAATAAAAAATGAGCAGTAATTTTAAATGTTCATATTTACAATGCACTATCATTCTGTCCCAGAAAAGAAATGTTAGAACTGAGCATCATAAAAACAATTCATTGGTTTAATTCCTTTATGATCAAAGCTTTGTTCAGTGAGGAAACAGCAGACTTTTTCTTTGACTCTGTAAGTAATGCATATTAATTCTAGGGATCTGGAAAAATGAAGAAAAACAAGGTAATAATCATCCATGGTACCATCCAGATTTGTAGCCACTGTTGATATTTTCACATATTTTAAGTGTGTTACAGAGGAGTAGCTCACCCTCCTCCATGAACATCTTTTCCTCCTCTCCTCTTCCACCTTTTCCTCTCCTTCCTCCTTATTTTTCACAAAATGGGGATTATATGATTGCCCTTTAGTACTTTACATAAAACATTATCAAAAAGACTGTTATGTAGAAAATTTAGTTACCAAAAAAAAAAAAGAAAGAAAATTTAGTTACCTGTTACACATAATCTCAAATTGTGGTTATCTTCGGAGATGTGCAAATGGAGCTATGTGTGCTATAAAGATTGGACTAATGATAAATTCAGATAAACTGTGAGAAAACCTGTAAATGTCTTATTGTCTGAACAATTTCCTTCAAGTTAAAATACATTAAATAATAGACATTAGTATCTCAGTGAGATTTTCTTAACCTCAAAAGATGAAAAGGGAGATGTAGAACAGAAAACATCAGACTGTTTAGTATTATGAAATAAGAAAACTACTTCTGGACTTTTTCTTTTAATTGTCATGAGAAGGAAATGGGCATTGTATATTAAAATCTAGTGTATTTCCCCTTGGTAAATAGAACAGTGACTACAATTTTTTATTTTTAAAATCAAATGGTGTTTCAACTTGAAATAGGAATGAGTCTATGAATAAGAGAACTGTGTTTTCTCATTTTGCTTTTAGGGGTTGGAATAGGAGATTTAACTCCCTAAGGAAATCTTTTGTCAGTCTTCCACAGTGCTTAGGATTAATGCCCTTGGCTTTGGTAAGAAGGACTTCAGCTTTGTAATTGATAAAAAAATTTTCACCAAGTTTTCAGATGAACTATAAAAAGAAAAAAGACAAATATACAAAACATTAAACTGTAAAATAATTGGACTATTAAATGCCAGAACATTAGTGAAATCTATACCAGTATCGGGCAAAAAAAAAAACTAAATCAGAAAAAGCAACTCCACCTTCTTCTAATAAAATATTTTCCAAAGATATATGTCTGAGACCTATGGAAAAAATACTGTATAACAAGAGACTTGTAAGCACACAGTGTACTTCTGAAAATGGTCTACTCCGCCATACAAAGATCTTTCCAGGAAACCATGTGTATAAAATAGGAGCAGAAGTCTGAAAGGAGAAATAGGTTAAATTGAAAAATTCAACAGAATGATATGAAAAGAGGGACACGGTGACTAATGTAAGAAAGGATTCCATGGAGGGGGAAGAAAAACAAAAGTAGAATTAAATCCATGTCGGATATGGTTGACGCCATGGATGATAAATAGGTCACATGAGAGTCATATTTGAAGTACACAGTGTGCTGATATGAAAGAAAATAGTTTACAGACATGAGATTAAGAACAGCCAACAGATCACTGGTGTAGACAAAAGCAAATGGAATGGAAGTGACAATTGAGAAGATATTCTAGATGAACACTTCCCTGGGCTGACGAGGAAACCAAGGAGATACAGATTTGAGAGACTTAACGCAGCATGCCATTTCTTATCTTGACATGGAAGTTTCAAAACCTGAACTTTTACTCCACGCCATGACAGTTAGGCTTCAGTGGCAGCGTCACGCATCCATGGCGAATTGCGATTGGTACAGGGGAAACAGTGACGGGGGAGGGGAAAGTAGGAATCACACATAATCAGAGGCAGGTGAATCAGTGCAGAGCCCACAGTGCGGGGCGGGCAGTGAACGTGAAGCTATCGGTTAGGTGGTTGTGGTGAAAACAAGGTCGTGAACTGCTGGATGCAGAGATGCTTTTGCTGAATTCAATAATGATCGTAATAAACATGATAAAGAATACACCTTCCAAAATAGCAATGGGAAAGATAAAAGCAACAGGAGTAGAGACTACATAGCAGAAGACAAAGGAAACAGAAAACTAAATGACAGAGTAAATGAAATATATTAAATATGGCAGTGACTTCAAATGGCTGGAGTCTTCTTGTTAAAAATAAGATTCTTCAAGGTCCTGAGTTCGATCCCCGGCACACACACACACAAAAAATAAGATTCTTGCTTAGAATCAACACAAAATTCAGTCATGCTGTTTATAAGCAACCACTAATACAAAGCATTAAAAGAATTAAGATGTATTAGGTGGATCCATGTAAAAAAGTGTGTGGTCATTGTTCGTCATATTATAATTATAATAATTATAATAATAATAATATAGAAGTGAGATATCATAGGTGACATTTATTTAGTACCAAAGACATGCGATATCTCATTTAATGCTCATATTAACTGTAAGGTTGTCAGACGATGTCAAACTTCTAAAACAATAATCATGAAAAATATTGTAACACCGTGAGACAATTGTATGAACTAACATGTAAAGTAAAAATTATAAATACAAAAAGAAATGAATATGGGACACTTTTAATACATTTTCTCAGTCTTCTGACATCAAGTAGGCAAAAACATAAGTGAACAACATCTAAATGCCATCATTTAATAAGGTACGTTTAACCATAGCATTTTGATGATGAAAAAAATATAAATAAACTAAATCCTAACAGTGAAAAATTTATTAAAGAAAATAAGATGGGGTCTAAAGTAATCATTCAACCACTATTTAAAATTATATTGTTGAATAATTTTTAACAATATTGAACTATCAGTTAAGTGAAAAAACATACATAATGATGTATAGCATAGTTTGTGGATTTTATTTTAAGGTGTATATAAATATATATAAAGATACAAGTAGAGAAAATAAACTAAAATTGGTATTTATCAAAATTTTAAGATCATTTATCTCCAAATATTGGGATTTTAAGAGATTTTATTTTGTTAGTGATTTTTATGAACCTTAATGATTTTGCATCAAAGTTTTTCTACAAAGGCTATTTTTACATCTCTCTCTCTGCAAAATTGACCTTTGTTTAATCTTCTGCTTAATTGGCTGTGATCTTATGAACATCCCACTTGGTTCTCACCACTTTGGGAAGAAAGGCAGGGTAGAGATTTTACACAGAGAAAACGAAAACTAAGGGAGGTAAAATGGGTTTTCTTTAAATGTCATCGTTAATTACGACAAAACTGGATCCAAAGTCCTTGACTGCTGGGACCTCATATCCTCAGGACTGTCCAGTGTAGTCTTCTGGATAAACCATGTCACCTCAAAGACCTTCAAATGCTGCGGGATCAGGGTTCCAAGTTCATTATCAGGGACCTGAGGTAATAGAATACGTAAATCCATAGCTTGATATGATTCCTCACCCAAGATGATAGAAAGAGGGGACTACATACGATTCATTTGTTCTAAGTCAGTAAGGAACCGAGGCAAGGAGACAGATACATTTTCATGGGTCTTGAATGTAGAAATGACCATGAGCTTCAAAGCCAGTCAGCTTCACAGGCTGACACTTGAGGGACAAATTTCACCCAGTCAGCAACCTCTCTAGAGAGGCCCCAAGAGAAAAGATGTCTTAAATACAAAATGTTACAGTGATTTGCATTTTAGACCAAATCAAAGGCCACTTTGAAGTGTCATTCTGGGTGCCTGTAACCCAGCTTCAGGACTCAGAGTTTCAGAAGTGATGCAGTGTCCTGTCCTCATGTCCACTGGTGACTTATAAGTGCTTTACCCTTCATCTTTCCATTATTTGTGAGCCATTGCCAAGCCCTTCAGTTTCATTTCTCTCGGTGTTTGGACAGTCTTAATACTCCCTGCACAGTTGCACTAGATATCAGATTTTTGTTCAATGGAAAATGCACAGGGGCCTGTGAGGGTTGCTTTGTAAACGTCAACAATCTTCACAGAATGGTTTTGTTTCTTCGGATTGGAATGATTTTTCCACTTCTTGCATTAGGAGTTCTAAATTTTGTACATTATGTAAATCAATTAAAGCTTTTTACCAATGGAACTTTTATTAGGATGAAAATAGCTTTATAATTTTTTGTTCTGATTGCTTAATAATGCAAATCTTCAGAAAAAATGCAAATGGTAATAAAAAGGCTCAGAAGAAAGGAGAAAAATCCCCTGAAATTCCAGCAAAGTAAGAGAACCATCAGTAACATTTTGGTTGCCATCTTTTCATACATTTACTGCCTAAGTATTCATTTTATTTTCCAATTTCCCCCCACTACTTT